AACACATGTTCCCTTTTTGACAATCAACGGCATTAAATAAAGGCGACGGAATTAAATCGTAAGCGGAAGACTTAAATGTAGATAGATAATCGACCATACAGAAGTTCTACACATATATCTCTACCCCGGGACTGGAGTCACATACTCACGAACATCTAAGGAATTCTACATACAAGGTCTGAAAGAAACATAATCTGTTTATCTCGGGTACAATGAGATGACAGCCAAAAATGTAAAGATAGAAGGGAGACGCCGGGCCTGCGGACGCCTGCAAGCTACCTCGGGTCTCTCTCTGGACTGAAGGTACGCCCCCGTGCTAATGCTGCTGCTGCTCAAAACCTGGACCTGTGCCAAAAATGCACAGAGTGTAGCATCAGCACAACCGACCTTATGTGCTGGTAAGTGTCTAGCCTAACCCCGGCGAAGTAGTGACGAGGCTAGACTGGACACCATATAAACCTGTGCAGTTATAAATATACACGGAAGCAAAATACCAAGCAACTAAAAAATATGGGAGGGGGAAACATGCTGTGGGGAGATAACAACAGTAACAGTAAATCTGAGGTATTCAATCTAGGTGCAACTAACAGTTTAAAGCGAACAAGTAACTAATACCGACACTAAACACGATCCACATATAACATCATTGCGGCGTGCAACCCGATCCACATATAACATCGTTGCGGCGTGCAACCCGATCCACATATAACATCGTTGCGGCGTGCAACCCGATCCACATATAACATCGTTGCGGCGTGCAACCCGATCCACATATAACATTGTTGCGGCGTACAACCCGATCCACATATAACATTGTTGCGGCGTGCAAGCCGATCCGTAATGTACACCTCTCAACCTTGCCCAAGCAACAGTCACAAATAAAGGGCTAGGGAGTAAACAAGTATTTGGAAAGAAATCCCAACAAGGGTACACAAACAACCAATAACAACTATGCAAGAGTAGATCGTTACTACTCTTTTTCTCTCACTTTCATATCCTAGCTCTCATTAGCACTCGTGTCAAACTCTAATGCAACTCTCATTTCATATGCTCTCACCGTCTGTATTTCAAACCGAGCCAATACTCCACGAAGTTCTACAATCACAATGTCTTTCACAAGGTTTCCACCACGTATAGAGGCCATTATTAGCATGGAAAGCATAACAATATCCAAACAACTCGCATATAAGGACTCACGGTCATGCTAGACCCCAACGTGTAGGAACTCGTCACCATGCCTACACACCGTACTCGATCATTTAGCAATTAGCAAACAAGACTCGACTCCTATTCCCTCAAGCTAGGGTTAAGCCAAACACTTACCTCAACTTCCACGGCCAATATAATCCTCCACAACCGCTTTCCCTCTCGAATTCGGCTCCAACTCGACCAAATCTATGCAATAAGGACTCCATGATATCAATATATGCTAAACAAATCAAACCCAATAACTAATTATAGCTTTTTTTTCATCAATTTACCCCAAAAGGTCAAAAATGCCCCCGGGCCCACATGGTCAAAACCCGAGGTTCGGACCAAAACCCGATTACTCATTCCCCCATGAACTTAGATATATAAGTTATTTTGGAATCGGACCCCGAATTGAGGTCCAAAACCCCCAATTTTAGAAAACCTAGGTTCTACCCTAAATTCCCAATTTTCCCCAATAAAAACCTTTGTTTGGAAGTTGAAATTATGTTTAAAGATGTTAAGGAGTAAAGAAAATCAGTTAGAAAATACTTACCAAACGTTTTGAAGAAGAAGGATAGTTTGGAAAATCGCCTCTTATGTTTTGGGTTTTGAAAAAGTGTAAAAATGGCTGAAAATCCCGACTTATATACTTTGCTGAAGGACTGGCGCGGACCGCACAAAGATGCATCGCGGCCGCGCCGAGGAAGGGAAGAAAATGGCTTTCTGAACCTACCCAGCGCGGACCGCACGATTTTGGTGCGCGGGCCCGCTGGTGTCTTACACCTGGAGCCTTCTCTGAATCTCCCAGCGCGGGCCGCACGAACTTGGTGCGCGGCCGCACTGGTTAAACCAAGGCTGAGGACCTCTCTGAACCTGGCCACGCGGACCGCGCGGACTGCACCGCGGCCGCGTGGCTTCCAGCGCGGACCGCGCGGAAATGACCGCGGCCGCGCTGGGGCCTGCAACACTGCAACATCTGATACTTTAAGCCTAAGGCCTCCCGGGACCTACTCAAAACTCACCCGAGCCCTCGGGGCTCCAAACCAAGCACACACACACTAACTCAAAAAATATCCTATGGACTCATCCGTGCGATCCAATCGCCAAAACAACATCGTAATCATCAAATTAGGCCTCAAGACCCATGATTTCCTTCCAATTTTCATAAGACCTCAAGTTTAGAGTTTTTAGCCCAAAACACGTCAAACGACGTCCAAATCTATCCAAACTTTACAGAAATTGCTTAAATCATATTTAAGACTTGTGCCGGGCGTCGGAACCAAAATACGAGCCCAACAGCACAATCTTCTAAACAAATAACACTTTCAAATTCTTTAATTATTTTCAGAAAATAATTTCACACAATAATTCATTTCTCGGACTTGGGACCTCGGAATCTGATTCCGGGCACACGCCCAAGTCCCAAAATTTACTACGGACCCTCCGGGACTGTCGAATCACGAGTCCGGGTCCGTTTGCCTAAAACGTAGACCAAAGTCAAACTCAATCAATTTAACATCAAATTTATTATTTTTTTCTCACAAATTCATATTTAAACGTTCCGGCTACGCGCCCGGACTGCGCACACAAACTCGAGGCAACCCCAAATGAGGTTTTCGCGGCCTCATAAGTACAAGGGAGTAGGAATACAGGTGATGACCCCCTTTGGGTCGTCACATGAATTGTCTAATTACATAGAGATTATTGATTGGGAAGCATTAGCTATTTTAGCGGACTCTCTTCGAGAGCCATGGGGTGATATTTTAACTGATATTTATCATGATATTTGGCCTAGTGCATCTTTTAGTGTATATGTGCAAGAGCTAGTATTCGATTGGTAAATGGACGTCCTAGCAAACATGTAAATTGTTATTATATATTTTGCTTTAATGAAATTTAAATTATGTTGTTTGTCTCACCAGTTACATATATTATTTATTATGATATTATGGATTGAGACTTGAAATAAAGTACACACTAAGAAGTGATTTTAATATTAATTATAATATTTAGATATAGATGATGAATGAAAACGTAGTGACCTTTCGATTTTATACTAAATGTAGAATTAATATTATAATTAATTTGCTTGAGTGTGCAATCACATGCATAAATTGACTGTAGAATATATTGATGAGTTAAACTTGTAATATTGTCTATAATAACAGACATGACATCGAAAAGTATCATTGCTGACTTGAACAAGGGTGACAAACTGAATTGTTAAAATTACGATAACTGGAGTCGTAAAATGTGGTATGTACTCGAAGAGCAAGATGCTCTTGAAAGTATTAACCATGTTATGAGTCACCCTGAGGAGGGTAACACTGCTCAACATAGGAGGGATCTTGAAACTTAGAATATTTGGAAAAAGAAAGATTCCATTACACGTAGAATTATAGTAAGTTCAGTTGCCGATGATCTTATCCACGAATGTGAGCAATATCCTACTGCTCAAGCCATGAGGAACATTTAAGAGAAGCATATGGGGGTACAATTGTGACTCGCCTTTGACAGCTGACAATCAAGTTGGACACGTACAAAAAGCGTCATGATCACAATGTCAAGCAACATCTAAGGGTGATGTCAAATTGATTGCTCAACTCAAAAGTGTTGGCCATGTTCTCTCTGATGAGCAGCAGGTTCAGGCAATGATTCGGTCTCTTCCCAATAATTGGGAACATCTGAAGGTTAACTTGACCAACAATGATAGCATCAAAACTTTTGCTGATATTGCCCGTCATGTGGAGCTTAAAGACGAGCGGCTTGGTGCTGCTAAAGTTGTACTTAATGCCTTTGTGGCAGAATCAAGTGGTACAAAGAGACTAAGCTTCAAGCGCAAGAGAAACTGAAAAAATGACGAAAAGGGTAAGGAGACCGGAGAAGGATCTTCTAAGAAAAGAAACAAGCCAAATTCCAAGAAAGGAAAATGGTTCTACAAGAAGAAAGATAAAAGCAAGAAGAAGTGCTACAATTGTCAAGTTCCAGGTCATTTTGCTCATGAGTGCACCGAGCTAAAAAAGGTAGCATTTCAAAACTCATCTCTAAGTGCTATATATGTTTCTAGCACTATTTTACTAACTGAATCTGATCCGTATGGATTGTAGACTCAGGGGCCACCAATCATGTGAGTCGTGATAGAGAAGCATTTACAGAGTTTCGTCGAGTTCCACCTGGATCAAAGCATGTATATATGGGAAATAATGCAAAGCTTGAAGTCAAAGGGATAGGCACTTGCAGAATGGACATGCGTGGTGGCCGATTTTTGATGTTGCATGACGTCCTATGTCTGTTCTTCTAAATTTAGATTTCAATTTGAACTTTAGTCGCAATGGACTTAGAATTACTCTAGACAATGTTTTTTATGGCTTTGGACATCGTTATGATGGTTTATTGTATTAGATTGTAATCCTTCTACGTATAACTATTATGTTGACCAATGTATTATGTCATGTTATTCTAGTAACAATGATATTGACGTTATAACATGGCATGCAAGATTAGGTCACATAGGGCAGAATCAAATGAATAGATTTGTTAAGGAAGGACATTTGGGTTCTTTCTCTAAAATTGAAATGCCAACTTGTGAAAATTGTCTTGCCGGAAAGATTACACGTAAACCATTTGGAAATAGTAGTAAAGAGTGACTATTCAGATACCATTTTTAATTATGCATATGAATATGATCTATATTGAATAATTGTAACTTGTCAAATTCTTCACGTATTGAGATTAATGAAGAGAAACTTAATTAAGGGTGTAATGATCCATCACATAAGGGAAGGTAGTTCTACTTTTGGATGAAGGGTAAAATAGTTAATTAGTTTTTGATGGGTAATTTAGTAATTCAAGTTTTGACATAGGGCTTTCCTATTTTTAGTATAGCATGATGATGATATGATGATATGTCGGTATATCATCTCGCAATCCAAAGTTGTCAATCCTCCTGTAGTCGCCTTAGGCATTTCTATTCGTTCCGTAGCTTTATCATAAAATCTTCTAACAACAGAAGGGATGTTCAGTCTTGTAGGGCTTAACAGATAGCTTGTTTGCAGCAAGTAATTATTCTCCTTCTATTCTACTCAGCCTGAAAAGCTTTATAAAAAGAAAATAAATGCTATAGGTACATTGAAAAAATTATTAATTTTTGATCTCGCATATATATTTCCTGATGAGCGAAAATTTATCCTTACTGAATTTTGATTTCAGTGCACTGGATTATGAGCTTGATCTTGAGACACCAACATTCTCTACTGCGGGTGATATGGAATACCTGTCTGGGTTTACATTGGGGATCAGGATTCTGTGATTCCTCTTACTGGAAGCCGAACATTGGTCCATAAAAACCTAGGACTGAGCACAATCGCACCACACAGAGTATTTTGGTTTGCTGGGATGCAGGTATGTAATCGTTTCCTCATACTGTTGTAAGCCTATTTAAAAGGCCTGTACTTTAGCTTTTCTAATGCAATTTCAAAGAGACTTCAAAAATACTCTCTCCACTTCCCTCCTTTGGGTTTAACTCCCCAACAGATAAGAGGCGCGTCTCATGATGCTCCATTCTCTCAATCAGAGAGATCGCTCGTGCTATTCAAGTCATTTTTGGAGGGCAAGCCCTTGCCTGAAGCAATCTGATTCTTTGATCGGTTCAGCATCACTAGTTCAAACAACAAAGTAAGTAAACTTTAGACATATTTGAGGTGTTTCTTAATCTTATTTTTGGTGTAAGCTGCATTCAGTTACTCTCTTTTGTATCACAACTTCAAAATAGAAAGGTTGGATATGAGATGTTCTGTAAAGTTGTCAAAGTAAAGAACTCACTGTTGCCTTTGTACTTGGGTGTTTTGTGAAATTGTAGTCCAATATTACCAAATGACCTCTGGTTGTACTAGAATGTTAAATTACTGCACATAGTGTAAGATCACTGCACAAAATAAGCCTCTTAAATGTGATCCTCATTGAAGAAGCTGAAAATGATCTATGACATTAATTAATGAGTCGGAGATACTGTTACAAGTTTTCTACTAGTGAGAAAAATAGAAATAACAAAAAGCGAGTCACTTTATAAACGAACACACAGAAATTAGAATATCAACCATCTTTGTTAGGCATGTAAAAAAAATATCACTGACTTGTCAAATAGTATTCTGAGAGCGTGTGGTAACTGTAGTGGGAGCTTCAACTTTCATTTTCAGATGATTGAATTCTAAAGCCAGAATCGGCTTGGACAGCATCACGGATATGCTGAAATTTCTCTTGGTCCCAGTAGGCACTCTGCCCAGTGATTCCACATTCAAGCTCTGATTTTCAGATGAATTTTCCTTGTCTGCATCCAATGCAAATGGTCCCAAGACTTTTGCTGGTCGCACTGGTCTTACCCTATATATGCAAAGTTATAAAACACAAATCACCAGCCTTAGCAACGAGTTCTAATGATAGTTAAAGAATGAGAATCATGGCACTGAAAAGGTCGGGCTAAGCAGCACTGACCTGCACTCAATCTGGCAAGAGTACTTCAGGAGATCAGAATTGTACTTTGTCCGTCCGCTGAAATTTCAAGCAAAACTGCTAATTACAAGTCCAAATTTACTTCAAGGGTAAACACCCTAAAGACCAAGTTAGAAACAATTACCTAAAGTTTGGGAGTGACATTTTGATAAGAGGACCCATCCATTCCTTAGACTCTTGCTGAGGAACTGCCAATTCCAAATGGACATAGAAGCATGATAAAATGGGGTATAACATTTGAGATGAAGTTTCCCAACAACCTACTACAGGTCAAACTGCAAGATTTTGCCAATGGATCAACACTCCCTACCTTGGCAAGTATATTGGGATGAGCATATTAGGCTACGATGACAAAATGGAGGAATTTATTGCTTATTCTATTGAATGAAGGAAATACCTAGGCACCCAAATGTATGACCTAGTGGTCAATGAAGTGGGAGGAGATCCATAAAGTCCTAGGTTTCAAATCTCATCAGAGGGACAACCACTAGGCCTTTTTTTCTATTTGTCTAATTCTCAGTTGACAATGTCTAAAGGAAATACCTAGATATACCAAGTTCTAAATCCGACTTCACAACTATTGCTATAAGGAAAGTTGCAGATGATCAACAATTGGATTATTATTTTCATCTATCAAGAAATAATGCAGTCTGTCAACTTATTTACCAGCGGTATTAAGGTTGATATTGCAGATATTTATTGCTCTCTGCTTCTTGATTTCCGTTACTTCTATGTCCATGTGATTCCTATAGCTAGCAGAAGATGTCCTCAAGCCAACAGTGCTTAGAACACTACTTGTTTTACTTTTCGGTGTCTGTGGAAGTGCTGTAATTTTCTGCATGCAGGTCAACAAAGTAATTTCTAGTTCAAAACATGTCAACAACAACAATCAAATTAAATATGCTTCAATCCCAAACAAGTTGAAGTCGGCTACATGAATCCTCACTTCCAGAACATATCCATTTTAACCTTTTGGAAACATCAGCCGAGCAATTGAAAAAATATTCTCTACAACTACATTTTCACCCACCTCAGGTAAACCTTTATAAAAGATTTTAGAATCCATGGGCATACCTTGTGGAAAAAGGAAATTCATAGCCAATACGGCAGAGAAGAATCATTGTTTAAGAAGAGTAAGGTAATTTGAAAGCATTTCGTTAAGTTTTGACTAGAAGAGTTGAACTGCATGATGCATGATACACAAAAATATGATTCAAGTGTTCAACAACAGAAGATCCAATCTACAAACTCAGTTGTACCTTTGAAAACCTGGCAACTTGACTTGGAAGACCTACAACCTGTGACACACGAGATATGAATAGGATCATGTTAAAACAATGCAATATATAAGAATCAAATTAGTGATGCAGACTAGATTCTTACTAAGAAAGTCTAGTGACTATCTATCTTTATGTCCAAGTCTTCATTCGAACGAACACATGCTAGAAATCCCTTTAAATCAGATGATTAAAAGAAGTCATTCTTATTTAATCTAAGGTTAGGAGTATAGATGTATATAAGAAAGTCACCACTACCCACCTTCCGCCCATGAAGGCATGCCTCATCACTATCCACCAGCACCCTGGCAGCCCATCTATTATTGACAAAAAATATATTTGTTAGTGTACAAACAAAAATACTTCATATTGAACAAGCAACAGAACATTTTTATAATATGGTTTAACCATCAGGTTCTCCGGACCCACTGGCTTGACTAATCAAGATTCACACAAAGGGGAAGCACTTCCTACTAGGAGTTTCTCCATTTCTAGGGCTCGAACCCGAGACCTCTCATTAAGAGTTGTGAGATTCATCCCACCCTACTCCTTGGTGATAGCTCTATACAAAAGTAACGGAGAAACTGTCAATCTAGAAGCGGTAGCTTCCCACCTCCCTCGGGGTCACGACCTGCCATTTTTCATTTCTTTATATATATTTTGCCAAGTTAAAGAACCCCCACTCTCCATGTTCTTGAGAAAGTTTCCAACAAGGTTTAGATGGATTATCCATAAGGTTTTCCCATTGTTCAGTGGTCTACTAGTGACAGCTTAATCATAAGTACTAATCAGTATACTACATGGGCAGTGGTGGAGCTCGAATGAAACTATAAAAGGAAAACTCCCTCTTCTAAACCGCCAGAGAAGGAAGAAAAAGTTAGACACAAGAAGGAAGGTAACCTGCACTTTCAGGAAAAGAAAGAAAGCATAAAAAAGGAAACCATATTTTTGACACCACCAATGATGGGCAAAGAAAGTCAAATTAAGTCCCTGAACTGATTTGGTAGTGGCTGACTTGTAAAGGTCTGGATGTGGTGATGCTGAGTTTTCTCAAGGAGAAATACACTAGATTGGCATGTGTTCTTCCACATAATTGTTTCATAATGTATTAGTAGTAGTAAGCAGAGGAAGATGCAATAGAGTAAATACTTACGCACAAGATGTAGGTGGATTCCATACTAGTCCTGCAATCACCACCAACTGAACAACTTGCATTAAAATAACACATTTGACTATTAAATAAACAAAAAAAAACAAATCGATGTTCTTTTTAACTTGTCTATATGAAATGCATGTTCCTGTACAAAGCAAATAGAAAAAGGTCCCACTTGCAATTTAGAATGAGATGATTCAACTTTAATAATGCAGACAAATCACTTAGTCTACTAGAACAAATCATTTGATCAAGAGGAGCAACTTATAAAATATAAGACAGGGGAAACCTCGTCGAAGAATCCAGCAGGACTGTCATCATAGCTAGCAAGAAAGAACCCGCCAAGAGTATATCTGCAAGTACAAAGTACAAAAATCAATTTAAGCATAATGGGTATTACTTAATTCTTCAAAATAAACTCACTAAATGCTTTTCACAGTCTAGTGTAGTAAAGAAAAATGGATACCCAAATGCCTCAACTAGTCTGCAGTCTTTGGGAACGAAAGTTCGAGCAGTCTCTGCTTTGACAAGATGAAGCTGGTATAAAGCACTGCAACATTACATTACATTAATAAACAGTACAATTCTTGGCTGGCTGATCTAAATCTAAAAGGCTGGTGGCATAATTGTAAAAACACTTACCTGCCTTTAAAAATCCAGGGAGGTTCCCCATACGCCGATTGAGTAGAATTTGTGTTTTTCACTTCCATTAGTAGTTAAAGACTGGTATTTCCAAATTAATAAAAATCAGATGCCTCGCAATTAGGATGAAAAATGCAGAAAGATCAACTTGTTTTTGAATTTAAGCAGAGTAAAATAATGTCAGAGCTACGAAATTGAACAAACAATGTTCCTGCTCAGGAAAGATATTCAATCTACATGCAGCCAACTTGATTGTGAAAATTAATTACTACTCCTATGAAACAACTGACAATTATCGATCAGAAAAAAGAATACCTCCCCTGTCCAATAATTAGACGGATCGAAACTCGAAACAAAAAAGAACTAGTACTAGATATATGAAGTATCGAACCTCAACAACCACCAGTCTTAGAACTAATATATACGACTGCTCATTTGCAGCTAGAACACTATATCTGGAAGTGATAAAAAAAATCTGGATTAAAAGATAAAAGAGCAGGGGAAGCAGTTGGGCAAGCAAACAAAAAATGCAGCACTCGAAGGAAGCAGATGGGAAAGCAGCAGATAAGGAACCTGACAGGGACGGAGCTAGCGTTGAAGGTAAGGGCGCAAGGGCGGATCTAGGATAAGACAAGTGAAGCCTTTGCCTTATTACACCCCCAATATTTAAGTTTAAGGCCCCAAAAAATATAAACCGATACTATATTATTGTATAATTAATAATTAATATTTATATTATTATTAATAAAAGATTTTAAAGTTAATATTTTTTTAATTTTGGTAGAGGTAGGATTGAGTTAATAGGATAAATTTTTTCTCTAACTAAATAAAATAATTTATTTATTTTCTTATCAACTCTATTTTCTTCCTTTATGTATAGTCTTTTTTCATGTTTCTCATGATTTTACTTTCTAATTTCAACTCATATTTCTAAATTAACTATTTCTTTTTGTCACATTTAATTAATTCAATATTAGAAAGCAAGTTCTTTTGTGTCATCTTTTTTAACTAAAAAATAACCATGACAAGTGTCGCAAGGTTCAAAATAAAATTGCTAATGGGCTCACCCCTTTACCATTGTCGTTTGAGGGAAGAATTCAATACCATATGACGTGCATCTAACCCATACATCATGTGTTGCACTCTCACCACTAGACATGTAGCTTTTTTTTTTGGTGTCTCGATATTATATGAATTTTATGAAAGAAGTTTCATGATCTTTTAATATATTTTGGTTTTAGGCCACCAGTTTTCGTTGAGCCGCCCCAGATTGATAATCAACAAATTTACAAACCACTGCCCCCACCAGGAACGTATTATTTAACCAACTTCATTTACATTTGGTAACGAAATAACACATTCACTTACTTTAATTTTGTTGTCATTGTTATCTTATCTTAATTGAGACTCTAAAAAATTTAATTGAGAATGTCAGGAGTAGACAAGTAACTTTGTAAAACCTTGATTTAGGTCCCAATTTTTTTAATAATGAATTTATGATTATATTCAAATTAGACAATATTAACTTTTGTAGACAAAATAAAAAAAAAGTACAAGAATTTTGTAAAAAATAAAGAAATAAATATTGTCTGCTCTTTAACAGTAAAAATATTTTAAAAATTTGAATTAAACTACTTAAATATTCATATTAGTAGATACATTTTTTATAATAATATCAAAAGTAACATATTGCAAATACATGTCTAACTTCATATTTATTTCAATTGCCCCTTTTAATATATAATAATAGGGTAAAAATTATTTACAACCCCCAACATTGATTTAAAAATTAAACCCCCTGAACTTTGAACAATTATCCTTCTTCCCCTTATTCTATATAATATGTATTTTGCCCTTGTTGTTTTCAGTTCCCTCCTCTATCCACTTTTATTGTATATGTTATTTTTACGATTTTACCTATAAATTATTATAAATTATAATTTAAATTTATTAAAATTATAAGTAGGATAGTCTTTTTATAATTATCACAATATTTATTATACTTTTATATTTTTTATTTTAATATAACGCTATTAAATATATATTTGAGTTATATTATCTTAGTGGTAAATAGATAATCTTTTAGGAGTTTGTTATAAAATCTGTCTTTACTTTTTATTAATATAAGATTTTATATTACGTGCATTGGGTATATGTTTATAATGTTATCACCCTTTTTAAGTCTTTATTGTGTAAATATTATTAAATTTTGATTGCTATTAATAAACTTATTGATAAGAGTAAATTATTTTATTTTAGTTTTTATTATGCTCAACTTTTTCACTATTCAACGTCATTAAATTTATGCTTGATTATCATTTTTTATTTTTCTATTTCAAAAATTAATTATTATATGGGTAAGTTCATAGTATGAATAGTAGAAAATAGAAAACTATTATGATACTAAAAAGATAAATAATGAAATAAATAAATGTTGATAATATAAAGGTTAAAATAGGTATTGTGAAAAGTCAACTGAGAAATAAGGAGGAGAATGACAATTGCTTAAAGTAGAGGGGAAAGTTTGATTTTTAAAAGCAAAGTTTAGGGGTATAAATGATTTTCTTCCATAATAATATTATTACGTGAAGTTAAGGTTTTATGCCATTTAAGAATATTATACTATAAACAACAAGTATGAAAACACTACTAGAATTCCGGAAAAAAGCAACCAGCAAAAGCGACCAACGTTGGTCGCTTATTGGCCAAAAAGCGACCAAAAAGCGACCAACCACGCCTGGTCGATATTAAGCTGGTCCCTTTACCTTAGGGACCAAAGTTGGTCGCTAAATAGCGACCAACGTTGGTCTCCCAGGTAAAAGGACCAAATTTTCCGGGTAAAGCATATAGCGACCAACTTTGGTCGCTCAAATATTTTAATATTATATATTTGGCGACCAGAGTTGGTCTCCAGATGTAAATAACGTTTTATTTTTATTTATTTTTAATCATATTAAGCGACCAACTTTGGTCGCTATATTAATAAATATTATAGTTTTTTATTTATTGGGCGACCAATATTGGTCGCCAATGGAAAGAATTAATTTTTTTTAAACTATAAGCGACCAACCCTGGTCGCAAAATTACCAGAATTTTTTTTTAAGTGAATAGCGACCAACTGGACACCAAAGTTGGTCGCTTTTTTGGTATATTTTTGGCAGAAACTGCCTGTTTTGGCTGCTACACCACCTACCAGCTTATACCAAATATCCTAAACAGGCATTTTATGCCAACAACAACAACAACAACAACACTAAAACGCAACAAAATATAAAGATCAATAGAACTAAAACATTAAGCTAACAAAACTAAGTTAACGTTTATTACAAGCTCATTCGAAAACTAGTTCTATTGTCTAGTTCAAAGTATATAAAGTACTCAAGGAGTGTTCTTTTAGCATCCTCGTTCAGAAGTTGGATTGCCTCGGCCGACTCGTTAGGTGGCTGACTTCGTATGAATTCCCCCACATCAGCTCTGAAGCGAACCTATAAGAAAAATTATATTGAATTAATATTTCAAAATTTATATCAAAGTAAATCAAAATACTTAATGATAAGTAAAAAAACTTACATGTATAGTCGAGGCTCGACCCTCGACCCACCTTTCTGAATTAGTCTCTTTCTTCTTCTTTACAATACGAGTTTCATTGAATAGCTCATCTTGCTTCATTGGCATCATAAAGCTGTCAGGTGGCTTTGGTGATTATCCTCATGGTAGTATTACTCGGGATGAACTTGGATACAGAGAATAACTTGGATACAGTAGCTGACAGGGTGTGTCTTTTGATCAATTGTTGTTCTCGTTAGCTACAATGATGTTGAGACTGCAATGACATGTGTTTCAACTAGAGATGGTATAGGCAGGAATTTTAACATTTCCTAAGTAGATAAAAGAAAGATTATAGAGGAATTCTCTACTTCATTTTCCAAGGAGTAAAGAAGTTTAATTGAGAGTGACAAGGGTNTTGATCGAAAAGATTGCATACAGGATAAGGAGTTGAAGTCTCCTTATGAATAGAGAATTATATCCGGATCAAGGAGATGGATTAGGAGTTAGAGTTGTTCTTGGACTCGAATTGTCAAAGGATCCACAATTCAAGCCCAAGTTCAGATGAAGTTTTGAAGATTGACAAAATGAACTCAGTCATGAACCAGGTCCATCATGTGAGACACAGTGTTGAAATGCTTGCACATGTGACATACGCGTGAAGAAGATAAGTCTCAAGGATCAGCAATAATATCTTCTGAATTGATCGAAAAGATCGCATACAGGATAAGGAGTTGAAGTCTCCTTATGAATAGAGAATTACATCCGGATCAAGGATATGGATTAGGAGTTAGAGTTGTTCTTGGAATCGAATTGTCAAAGGATCCACAATTCGAGTTCTTATCAAACTCTGATTACTAACTCTATAAAAATAACGATTGTTCTCTTTTACAGGTGATTGCACATAAGCAGAAGTTAAGCATATTTGAGAGCAAAAAGATCAAGTCTGATTTGCAAGCAACATATGCGAGATACAAGTGTGCACGTCTGAAGCTACATGAACTAAGATAGAAGAACCAGTTTCATCATTGTGTTTATTCTAAGTCTAGTTCAATTGTAGTAGGTTTTCATATTGTACCTTTCAGCTTTATCTAGAAGCAATTGTAATAGGTATATTGAGTATTCAAGTTAGAGTTAACTTGAAAGTGTCGCAACAGTTGAGGCTGTGTGCTACACTGGGATTAGAGTTAATCCTTAGGTTTACAAAGAGTTTTGTAAATGCAGTTTTTGGCTCAGTGATTTTAGTGGAGTTTGGAAAAATCCTACTGAGTAGTAGGTCGTGGTTTTTTCACCTTTTGAGCCAGGTGTTTTCCACGTAAAAATCTCTGTGCACTTTACTTTCAGCATTTATTATTCCGCAAACTGCTGTAGTTAGAACACTTAGAAGAACCAGGTTCTTCTAACGCGAAAATTAGGTACCACACAAATCACCCCCCCCCCCTCTTGTGTGGTATTGACGTTTATAACATCAGATCATAAGACTCTATGATGACAAAGATTATAGGAAGTTTTGTTCTCAACTTTCTTCCAAGTCTGATCCGTACAAGCTTAATGGGATATTGGTGATATATTCTTCTGAATCCGAAGAATATATAACGAATATCCCACTAAGCTTGTACGGATCAGACTTGGAAGAAAGCTAAAAACAAAACTTCCTAAAATCTCTGTCATCATAGAGTCTTATGATCCCCGTTTTATGGGAACTGCCATGACCAATGAAAAACATTCCATCATCATCAAACTTGTCACTCCCAATTAAACTCCTTTTCCTCTTGGAAATTGAAGTATAGAATTCCTCTATTACCTCTTCTTTTATCTACTTAGGAAATGTTAAACTCCTACCTACACCATAACTATTTGAAACACACGTTCTTACCTTCTCATCATCGTTGTCGCTAATGAGAAGAACAATTAAAGGCACACTCTGCCAGATACTGTGTCTTAGTTATTCTTGGTGGAAGTTCCTTTGCATGTCTAATATTACCATCAACCCCTTCTACAAAATCCTCCCGCAATCTAAAATTCCAATACATAAACCAAAATTTTAATTCATATCCTAAAGGTTCAACTCATATCCAAAAAAATTCAATTAACAATCTAAAATTCCA